GAAAGATGAAAGACTTTTCACTCGAGTCGCACCATCGCGCGGACAGATCTGGGCGAGTTTGGAGCATGAGCTCATCAAAGGGCGGCCAGGCTGCCTGCCCACAGGTGAGGTGGGAAGAGGGAGCCAATTGAAAGCTCAACAGGAGACTGGGACGCAAGTCATGCCTCCAGCTGTCCTCATCTGTCTGCAGCCGGGCATCTTCCGTCTGTGGACATGATTTCTCGTTGCTGTGTCAGGATGAGGTCGTTGGCGTTGGTTTGGCTCAGCTCGAGTCCGAGTGTGTGTATGAAGTCGGCGACTTCCTCACCACCATCGAGCGCAAGCCGCTCTCACTCGTGTGCCACCAGCTGCACCAGAAGACCACCGACGCCACATACGGCATCCTGTACCGTGACCTCACCATCTCCATCCTCGAACACAACTACTGGAAGAAGATCAACCTCACAGGCACACTCAAAACACGACTGGTGGGTGGGGGGATGGGCGGGAGGAGGGAAAGGCATGGATGGATGGATGGTTTTCTGTATGTATGTGTGGGTCAGAGTAAGATCGAGACGGCGTTCATCGACACCGACGGCAACAACAAGGATGTGCTGCCGTCTGTAGTGGAGTGCATCGAGGCGTCCAACGCCACACTCGTCCACATCGGTGTGGACGACCCGAAGCGAGGGGGCTTCTCCAACGTGTCCGGCAATGAGAAGGGCGCGGGCAGTGGGGGAGAGGGGGTGGAGGAGGGGGGTAAGGAGCCAGTGGTGTTTGAGAAGACCCAGCAGCTACACCTTACGGATGCAGGATACCTAGACCTAGCCGAGTAAGGGGAGAGGGGCGGGAGGGGCTGCAGAGATGCAAATCTTTTGGTTTGTGGTGTGTGTTGGTGTGTCGTGTTAGGGATCGCAAGTGGGCGTTTCCGAGTCTGGAGGTGCTGAGTGTGGGCAAGGTGGGCCGCGAGCGGATCTCCCTCCTGCCGGCCGTCACCCACATCGTGTCAGCTTCGCCGAAGATCACCTCCATCACGGCCGATGTCATCGTCGTCAAGGAGGGGGACGAGTGGCAGGCATTCACAAGGTAGATGGAAGACTGGCGCGCCTCTGCTTTCGGTCTCACACACATCTTTCCTTGCCTCTGTGTGTCTGTATGCGCGTATGCGCGCGTGTGTGTCGGTGTCAGTTCGCTGAGCGGCTGCCCCAAGCTCACGAGCATCAGCGGCCTCCACCTCGTCCCGCCCGAGAACGACTACGGTGAACCTAAGTGAGCGGGGCGGAAAGACAGATGGGAGGGAGGCAGAAACACACCGTGTCGTATGCGTCTGTGGTGGTCCGTGTCAGTCCCGTTGAGTACATCTACGATCCGCTGGGCCGCCTCACCACGGCACTCGACACCAACTGGCGCACCGATGACATGAAAGGTAGGGGGGTGGGCAGATTAACACCACACACAGGGAGGGACTCTTTGCTACATGTGTCATCTGTGCTGTGCAGGTGTGGACAAGACCATCATCATTCACCATCGCTTCTCGTTTGGCGCCGACTTCAGCCGCCAGCTGACAGACCGCAGCGGCCCCAACCACTTCGTGCTGCAGGACCTGCTCAACTGGGCGGACGAGACCAAATGCCAAATCGTGTGGATGCCACGGTCGGTGAGACCTGCAGGGGGAAACGAACCGCAGACAGAGACGAGCACATGATCCGTGTGTGTGTGTGTGTGTTGTGCAGTGAGGACGACCGGCTTGACTATGACAGAGACAGGCCGCCGCAGCATGACGACATCGTCATTGACTGCGGCAAGGAGGCCCCGGACACAACACCTCCGGCCCCGCACGGACCTGTAGGCCAACTCATCGCCAATCTGACGAAAAAATGCGACGCGGTGAGAGAGGGGTGTAAAGGGGAGGGAGGTGCAGCACACGGCCTAGAGCAAAATGTCTGCCCTGCTCCCTTTTCCGTTCCTTCTCTCGCAGGTCAAGTTTGTGTACGGCGGTGCCCCCCTGCACGACACGTGGGGGCAGCTGCTGACATTTCCCGCGGCCACCAAGCTCTCCATCTACCCCCGCGACGACGACACTGCCGTCCGCCAGGTGGTGAGCAGCATCCCCGAGTGGCTCGTGGCCAAGGACCAGAACGGCAACAGCACCCATCTGCCAGCCATCCAGGACCTCTACATCGACATGTGCGGGTATTCCAACACCGGTGCCCACAACAACTCCTTGCCGACCGGTGCTGAGGCTGGCAGGCTCGAGCAGCTGCTGGGGGGTCTGACGGGGGTGCGTAGGGTGTGGTGTATGGCGAAGAGCCTCCGCGCCGTGTCGCAGTGTGTGTCGTATCTGCATGCCCGTGAGCTGAAGAAGTTGCGGATCCGCCTGGGCGAAGAGTCAGATGCGCTGCCCGACTCATCTCACGTGCCGGTGCCTAGCCTAGCCTACCCTTCTGTCAACTCGCTGCGCGTGTCGAATAAGTATGAGGATATCAGCAAGGAATGTGCTCGGTCTGTATTGTCTCTGCTCATGTCCATCAAGCCAGTTAAAGCCAGCATCGATCTGACGCTCAGCACAGAGTCACTCGCAGGCACGCGCCGTCGGGATCTGTGGGGCGACGCGGACCGTGCGCGTAGCTACGCCCTTTGGGATCTGCGGCTGGAAGCAGAGAGGAGGGTGGGGTCGGCCTACGATGTGGTGTCGGTAATGTGCATGCGCAACTCGTTGCGCATGGAGCTAGTGCGGAAGGAGGGGGGCAAGGGAGAGAAGGGCAAGAGGGGCAAGAGGGGAGGCAGCAAGGGCAAGTGAGTGAGGCGACGTGGGCGGTTGGTGCAGATGGTGGGCAGGTCGGTAGCATGCTTTGCGGGCGGAGGAGGAACCGACCGTCTCGCTCACTGGCATCCGTAGAATGGGCACAATCGCATGTCGCGTGCCCCCTGTTTTGTGTCTCCATGTCTGTCTGCGTGTATGTTTGCATCTTATCCCCACCCCTGTTCTAATTCGCCTTCCTGCGTATCTGAGAATGGCCTACCACGGCTATTCAGCATGCCGCCATTCTACTGTTGACGTGCATGTGTGTGTGTGTGTTGTGTGTGTGTCTTTGGTGTTTGGTGTTGGGTGTGGGCATCGGACTGACTGCATGGGCAGGGAGGCGTTACACGTAGCTGATGTCATTGGATTGAATCTCTTTATCCCTAACATACAAAGTCAACTCACCATCCCGATCTACCTGCCTAGCCAACTGCTGCCCACTGATGCGTTCCCATTACTCGAAACAAACAAGACACACGCATGGGAATCAGTCAAGCAATCATCGGCTACCTGTCACCACCCAACAGACTCTGGCTGGCTGCCTTTGCTATGGTGTCTCCGCCTTGCCTGCTCGGCACCACCTTTCTGGTCAGCCGTCTGCCTCTCCAGCTCTCCCGGCTGCTTATCCTGCTCCTCTGCAACACCACCCGCAGCAGCAACACTCTCCATCGCGCTCATCCGTCTTCGCCCCAGCAACCGCCATGCAGCTGCATCATCGTGGGAGGGCTCCATGGCACATGGACGCCCCTCTTGTGAAGGATATACATGACCACTATGCCGGCGGCCGCCAGCAGGAAGACAGAGCCGAAGACGATCAAGGCGATGGCCGCAGGACTCGGCTCGGCTCGTTATACCAGAGAAAACCCTGTCGACAAACTGCACACGCATGCACACAGAGACACACATGGACGCCCGCAGACTCTCTGTGCCGCCCACTGACATACCTGGAAGTTGCGAATGTGCAATCCGTCGTCAGTTTTTGTCTCTCACCATGGTCTCGAAGTACAGCCGGCCGGCCGTGAAGTGCGACGAGGGCAGGGAGCCGACGGACGGCGGCTGTAGCCCACCATGGCCAATGGCGGGATGGTCGTGGACGCGTTGACGCAGTAGGTGTTGTAGGTGGTGGGAACTGACCAGACAGGTCTCCAAGGACACTCTCGGCGGCCCGCTGACACACGCAGAGATATCACTACACACACGAGAATGCATTCAGCTCTCTCTCCATCTCTCTCTGTGTGTGTGCGTACCAGTCTGTCCTGATGTGATATTCGAAGGCCTCATCGACGTCATACTCGCTCCGCAGCTCCGCCCAGGTCGGCGGCACGAACCAAGATCTCGAGGTTCTGGGGCGGAGTGGTGGTGGTGTCGTTGCCGCTGCTGCCGTCGCCCATCTGCAGCCTCCTGTTTGGAGCGAGGTGGCCATCACTGCTGGTGCTGGTGCAGGTGTCGTTGTCATGCGAGCAGACGCAGGTGAAGCCGCCGGGATAGTTGACGCACAGCGACGGACATCTGACATGCACACAGGCAGCGCCATGCAATGCAATACACTGGACACACCCATGGTGTCCTCGCCCACCCGCCGGTGTTGGTCGCGCACTCATCAATGTTTTCACACACAACACCTGGACACTCACACCCACAGCTTCTCCACAATGCTCTCTCCCTCTCTCTCTCTCTCTCTCTTCCTCTCTCTCTCTCTCTCTCTCATGTCATCGTTGATACGTACCGTCTCCCGCGTAGCCCGGCTCGCACAAAGACACGACCAAACCATTGGACACACTGCAGGTCGCCCGCTCGTGGCATCCTCCGTTGTTGACATTGCAGAGGCCGGTGTTGCATTGCCGTTGTTTGTTTGTTTGAGTACCGATGTTTTGCGTCGCGCTGGCAGGGTCGTTTGCGAGGTCGGTCGCCGCGCTGCTGACGAGGCCAGGCCGCCCACATTTGTGGAGGCCATCAGGGGCGCAGACACGTCCACACCCAACCAAGACCAACGGAACAACACGGACCGATCCACATACGTCCGCCTTTGCCAGCATCCGTTGCCAGACGAGGCACTCGGGCTGCACGTCCACCAGGGTGTACCCCGTGTTGTCGGCGCAGTTGGCCGTCGTGTAGCCGCACGACTCGAGAGCACGGGCCGAGTGTTGCGCCATCCACACCCCACGGAACTCTGGCAGATACCTGGGGGGAACGCATTCATCCACAGCCACCAATCCAATCAGCCAGCCAATCAATATATCGATGATGCCTGCACGCACCTGTGCAGTATTTTCGAGAGGAAGTAGTACTGAATGCCGGTCAGCGGCTCGTTCAGAAAACGCGCTTCCAGCTGCACCGTGTTCCTTCAGCCACCGCACACCACAGCACAGCACAGCACAGCAGGAAGATAAACCTCCACACTGTCCAATGCAGCTGCAGTGTTGCCGTGTTCATGGGTCGCGTACTTCTCGATGAGCACAAACGAGTCGACATCCACTCCATCGGCATTGAATTTCCTCGCCATGTTGTGCAGCTGTGCCACGGGGCTGAAGTCGGTCCTGGCGAGTCTGGCGTCGAGGTGTGGGGCGAGCGCCCGCTGCAGCGGAGGATGAGGGGCACCACCTTGCTGCGCTTGATGGGCCGGCAGGTCACCACTTCCCAAGGCCGCTCGTCATCCATTCAACCAATGGATCACGGACACACGAGGAGGGCCCCAGGGCTGCCCTTCAAGGCAAGCTGATGAAATGCGCCGATGAGTCGGATGAAATCGCATTGGCGGATATCGGCCCTCATGCTTCAGCATCTCTATCAACACGTCCGTAACAGTTGCCAAGCTTGTGGAAACAATTGTTGCGTCCACAGCATATCGCACTCGCCGAAAGAGCAGAAGGACGCGAAAGTCTCCCCGAGTCTGACCGTGAGGCGTTCAGGTGACCGAGCTTCCTGCTGGCAGCCTGCAAGGGAAGACGCAACAGCCAAAAGTGAACGAAGAGATCTCACAGCGTGGGAAGCAATAGAGTAGATCTGTGTAAGTACTTGGATAAAAATGCTCGGTGGGCTGTCCTGACGGCCTTTTGTCTCCTCTGGCGGCTCAGCGGCAGTAGGCTCACCATCAGCAGGAGCATTGCGTCGGTCAACGGGGCCACGAGAGATCTTTGTCAGCTGCAGCAACGCGAAGCAGATCTGAAGCCCTCGAAGACTGTGCGTGAGGTGAGAGCCCATCTGTCCTCTTGAAAGGTGAGCTCGCATTTTGTGCCCCCGTCAAGCCCCCAGCCTTTTCCGCATTCCCTTCGCTTTTTTCTTTCACTTGTCGTGTCAATGGTCTCAGTGCGGAGCGGGAAAAGGAAAAAAAGAGGAAAAGGAATTTGCCAAAGTCGGTGATCGAGTGAGGATCGAATTGCCCTTTTTCTCACAGCTGACACTTCGCTCGTTTGATGTTGCTGCACGAGATTGTCCAGTGGGAGCCCCGAGGACCTTCCAGCCAGAGAAAGAAGGAAAGAAAGGGGAAAGACTTTTCACTCTAGCTCGAGCCATTGAGGATGACCTCGTCAAAGGGTGCCGTGCATTCTGACTGCTGAGTGCCGACGGCGGAGCGTCACAATCAGCTGCTACTGGTGTCATGATGGACGTGTCATCCCTGGATCATGAATCACCTGCCCGTCCCGCAGGCGAGAAGGTGCGGGAAGAAAAACACAATGGACGGCTTTGATTGCATCTGTTGTCGTTCATTCATTCATTCGTTCAGGTGCGGTTCACCGGCTTCCGCTCGATGCCCAACGAGGTGCTGTCCTACGCCGGCTCCTTCTTCAGCACGGCGGACGGCACCAAGCAGATCTCAGAGGTCTCCCGGCACTTCTGCACATGCGTCACCGGCGAGCCATCATCGAGCATCATGAAGCCCCACGCCGAGCGGGCAGGCGGTGCATCATCCCTCTACAGCCACCTGTACATCGACAAGAAGGTCTTCTGGGACCTGCCGGCCCAGGTCACGAGTCGGCTGCAGTGCACTCACCACCAGAGCATTGTGGTCAAGATGGACCCCAAGTGGCCCGTCAATGAGATGGTCATCGCCGCCATCCGCCGCTCGCCCGAGGTGTTGCAGAAACTCGTCATCACCACACTCGACGGCAGGGAGACCGAGGAATTCCCTGCTGAAGGGCAAGTCATTGGCAGCCCCCCTGCCGTGACGCCTCCTTTCCCCGCCGACCGCATCGTGTTCCCGCACGTCAGGAAGCTGCATGTGGATAGCCTGCGGTATTTTGTGCGCATGGTGACGGAGGGCTTCGAATGGTATGTAAGCCATCGATGGACCTACGACGGACAGGGGGACGTAGCTATGCGCCCGTGTTTGGTATGAGTGTGTTTGCAGGCCAGAGTTGACCGAGTTGAAGGGCAACATGTTCCTCGGTGCGGACTCTGATGAGGACACCTACGAGGCTGACCGGTTCACCGAGTCCTTCATTGACCAGCCCCTGGCCCACTTCCTTAGCACGTCCAAGAAGCTGCGGCGACTCTGCATCTACCCATTCACACCTTTTAAGGTGACACCCACCCAGACACAACAACCAGCGCCATTCATGTGTCGCAATGCCTGCCTTTGATCGCGTTTCAGATCCTCGCCGGCTGCCGCATTCCTTTCCCCTCCTCGTGACTATGACGCACCTGACCACTCTGGAATGGATCAACATTCAAGACAACCTGTCGCAACCCGACGCACCATTCGACGAGCTGTCGGAGCTGGATGTGCTGCGACGGCTGTGGGGCCGCAGGAACGACACCAGAAAGAAGAAGATAATACTGCTGTATGACTTATGCGTCAACGAGGGCATGCCTGGCAAGATGACCAGCACTGCTGGACCGCACGGACTGAGCGGTGAGGAGAGCAACCACAGTGGGGCTGCGTTGAGACATCTATGTGGTGCCTGTGGTGTGTGCAGCTGTCGGATTCATCGAGCAGCTGGAGGCCATGGGCTGCCAGGTGGCATACAGCGGCGGCAGCACGTGAGTGACGGAGACACTCGACAACACACATAGCCCTTCATACGCCTTCGAGTGCAATGAGTCTGCCTGTCTTCAGGGTCAAGTTGGATTGCGTGAGGGTCGAGAACAATGTCGTCGATCCGCCGCCTCTCCATCCGGTCGTCCGCAGAATGGCCGAGGGATTCGCCGCAGCGTCAAAGCTCGGTGCCAAATGAGCCACCTGCTTGGACTGATGTGCATAGCCCATGTGACCTCTCTGTGTATGTCTGTCGATCATTCAGTGGACATCACCTACGGGGGTGTCCGCCTGCCTGAGGTCAGCCACAGCCACACAAACGCGCACGCGCATCAATGCGCCTACAACTTGGATATGTGTTTCTGGTGCATTTGTCAGCGATGAAGCTTCCTCCCGCCATTCAGTAGGGCGTCGCAGCTAGGGATCGTCTTCAGCCGCAGCAACGACGAGCTGCTTGACGTGCACGACGACGACTTCAGCACCATCCCGGCCTTCCTCACCCAGCCAGGCCGCTACCCTAACGTCGAGGACCTCTTGCTCGAGCGCATCGGCAGATCGACGGGCGGCAACAGCGTCATTGCCGCACCCCCCAACCCTCTCAGCCGCATCGTGACGAAGGCCCTGCCGTCCTTGCAGCGGCTGCAGCTTAGCCAGATTGCCCCGTCGATCAGCGCCAGCTGTCTCTACTACCTGAAGGTTCGTTAGAGGCACGGGCACAGCCATCCGTATCCACTTATTCATCTGTTTATTATACTGTCAGGATCGCACCGAGAAGCTGGAGGGAGTCGAGGTCCGCTGGCCGCGCCTGCCAGTGGAGCTGCCCCCTTTGGTGCTCGCCCCGCCCCTCGCCCCACCCGTCAAGCGGCTGCTCATCACCAACAGCCGGAGATCGAGATCCTTCACGAGAGCAGCCACCGTCACTTCGCTCTTCAGTCTGGCCTTCCTGCTCATGCCCGACACGGCCGACATCACGCTGCGGTTGGCAGATGCTGACACGGACCGGGGGGCGGCCTTGGCGCTTATGCAGTGTGTGCGGCGGTGCATGCGGTACTACGACGTGCAGCTGCCCATGACCGACGAGGACCAGGGCGAGAACCCGCGGACGTTTGTCGTCAAGATGACCAAGAAGGCCGGCGTAGACTGATGGATGGGTGCGTGGGCCAGGGAGGTCAGAGGAGACGATAGAGTAGCCAGCCGGCCACGACATGCAGCGACCTGTACAGATTTCGTCGCTGCTACTTTGTAGCCGACTGACTGACTTGAGACTCGGCCTACACATGAATGGATCCATGGATGGAACACATGGAGTTGGAACGGTCATTATTTCCCGGGTACATACCTGCACACTGTTGAAAAAGGCCACACTAAAGTGTCCACCGTCTGGTCCCCCTCCCGCCTTGATGTTCGGACGGTGGTGTTGATTAATCGCACTCACTCACTCACCATGCAGTGGTGACAGACAGACAGACACGTCAGCCAGTCAGTATCCATTCGTCCATTCATTCACACTGACTCAGACGGCCACTTGTCACTCACTCGCGCATCCAGACCTCTCTCCCTGTCCCTGTCCCTGTCCCCCTTCGCTCCCTCCCTCTGTCTCTGTCTGTCTGTGTCTGTTGGTTGGTCGGGTCCATGTGTGTGTCTGTGTCTGTGTCGGTCGTTCACATTGAGTCCTTCTACCTCTCGATACCAGATCGCAGACATCCATGTGAACGAACGACACAGACAGAGGAGGAGGTAGCCTGTGTTTCCGTCTCTCTCTCTCTCCCTGAGTGTGTGTGTGTGTGTCATGTGGCCACACACTGAGTGTCGTGATTGATGTGAGCATGTCTATTCATTTGGACACCTAGGTCTCTCTTGGTTCCTTGCGCGAGCCGATGCACCTCATGAACAGCCTTCCACTCATCGAGGGTCAGTGCCAATGAAGGTGAAAACCATCACACCACTCATACACACACATGCAAGCTCGACATGAAAGGGCTCAGCCGCTCGGCTACGCCTGCCTTCCCACCATAGTGCAACGACTCGACAGGTTTGGCAGGGTGGTGATGGCCTTGATGCATGTGGGAAACAGGCGAGACCAGACTAGCAACTCGCCCTCGTCTGCCCCCTATCTCCCTCCCCGCCCTCCGCAGCACCGTAGAAGGGTGGGGTGGCGAAGAATGCGCTGGCTGATGTGCCGGATGCGATGCTCCATGCCCTTGCCCTTCTCCTTCTCGCTGCTGCCCTTGTCGTCCCTGCCTCCCCCACCGACACATCCATCTCCATCTTGCCGCTGCGATCCGCCCCACCCGCCCCATCCTCACCGCCCTCATCTGCCGGCCCCTCCCACACCGACCAATCCCCACTGCCGTCACGGCACTTGTGAAACGCACACTTGATGCGCAGCAGTGGCCCCCCACTGTCTTGTACAACGGCAGGAAAAACGCCATGACAAGAGGGCTGCCGTGCGAACCGCACCGCCCGCAGCGATGGGAGGTCGTCTACCGTCTTGACGACGGCCTCCTCGCCCAGCTGCTGCGCCTTGCCCATGTCCATGGACCGCACCGATGGGAAGACGCGGCCGAGGTTGAAGAGCAGTGGCTGTGGGAGGGGGTTGTCGGTGTCCCTGGCCGGCTGCAGGGTGAGGGTGCGGGCTGAGCTGAAGACGAGCTTGTTTTAACGTGAGAAAGCCCGGATGATGTTGTCTTGTGCGATGCTGGTGGGGAAGCTCACCGATGTGGCGAGCGAGGCCGCCAGGGTGACTGAGGGTGGACGATTCGGATGCGGGCGTCTCGCTGTCGTAGATGTTGCGTATGGGGCTGCCGGGGTTGGTGGGCCACAGGAGGGTGGTGAAGGGGAAGTCGAATAATACGCTGCTGCTGTAGTCCTTGTGAACCGCATTCAGCGACTGTGACACCAGCAGGCAACACATGGATGCATTGGGAATGATCACTTGTTGTTGTGTGTACATTGGTCACTCACAGATATGACGCTTGGGGTGATCTGTCTGACGTTGATCGAAGCTTCAATAATCAGCAACTCCAGAAGTCGACCGGCGTATCGAAGTCGTCAATCCAGCCCTCTAGGTCCGGCTCGTCCGCCGTCACGCTGAAGCTCGTCACCGAGTCGATGCTCGTGAACTCGACAAGCAGCATCGCGTCGTGCGCATCCCACGCGAATGGGGGCGAGAGGGAGGCAGTTGCGCCCATACCTTGTGTCGTAACCGCCGAACTCGTTGTCGTGCGCCGTCTGCTCCTGCGTACTCAGTTTGCGCAACTCGACGGTCTTAAGAGACATGTGGCACCCACACCCACACAACAGACAGGGGCGGATTGTGCGTAGGGACCTTTGGAAGGAACTGTCCTGGATTTGCACCCACCTGAGTGTCCAGGCGCGCAGAAACGAGGCCCACGCCCACCGCCCGCCCACCACTACTGTCTTCAACCGTGGGAACTCCCCCGGCTCCTTACCCCTGTCATCCGGAAAGGCTATCTCGCGCTGCTGGACGCTGTGGCTGTCAGCCTCCAGACTCTCGAGACTCTCACCGGCGCCTTCAATCAGCCGCACCATCGCCATGTTCATGTGACACCGCATCACTGCGCGCGTGGCTTTGGCCAGCCAGGGCTCGCTCGGTGGGGTCGATGTCGCGGTCGGCGAGGAATGTGATGGTGGTGTGCATGTCGGGGCCGCGGGAGGGTCCCAGGTATGACGAATGGGCCCGCGAGAGTCGCCGATGATAGACTCGGTGCCGACGAGGGGGCCGAGTCGGTCAAACAGCAACGCGTCAGGGAGGGTGAGTAGCGACGGCGCCAACGACTGAACAGAGCACAGCACACACACACACATGTGCCATACACTCTCTCTCTCTCTCTGTTGTGTGTGCGTGTCCAACTGCAGGTGGGCGGCTGTCAGTTTGTGACCATCCTTACATCTAGGCGTAGGTTGCGTAGCACAGCAGTAAGCTTCTGCTGTGCAATAGTGATGAGGATGTCCTGAGTGCTGGGCGGGGCATCGGCTGGGGATATCTTGGACACACCGTAATCCAAACACACCATCTGCACACACCAATGCACACAGGCAGGGAGATGCAAAGCGGTTGGCTCCACGTGAATCATCTTGTGGTCTCTCACCTTGGCGCTACGTTTGGGCACATGTCTTGTCCCAATGTCCGCTCCTTGCTCCCCTTGAGCGTCAGCACCTCACCAGCCTGATTGCACAGGGAGGCCCACACAGAACGGTACGGGACACTAGGGGCCCTATCCCCCACAATTTCCCCCACATGTCGCTGCAGTGCGTTAATCTTCTCTGCTACGTCTCAACACGCTCACAATGGACTCGGTCTGGATGGACCATCCAGTGACTGCGCTTCATCAGAGCACCTGGCCAGTGTCCTTTCTCACCTCTGTGCTTCGTCTGCGACTCCATCGCCGCGACGGGGAAGCAAAAGAGTGTCCAATATCAGAACATCTCGAGGCTATTGTCGTCAGATCCCAGCTGCGAGAGGACGCAGAGCGCCAATACCAACCAAAATGCTTTCGAAGAATTCCAAGTAAAGGGCCCCCGCAAGCGGGTGCCCTTAGAGCCGCGAATCGGGCGGGGAAGGCGGCAGTGGTGCTTGCAGTGGCAGTACGATGATGAGTAGCACGAGTGGCTCCAATGGCCGTCGAGAGGTATCATCGCTTCATCTCATATATGGTCAGGTCCGCAATGAGCTCAGTGAATTCTGTGGCGTGTCAAGTGCAGGAAGGAACTCGCTAGGATTACACTCATGCCGACAGGCAGGCGAGTGAGACACGGGGTCAGTCCGAGAGAGCATGGAGTATACGTGTGAAGTATGTGTCTGAAGGATGTATGTGTCATGTGCATCTTACGATGTGCCCTCCCAACTCACACTAATGATATACCCACACAATAATTCATGATGGGATGGATTGAAACATAACATATCCATGTACACGTGCACACAGGCAGGGGCACACAGTCATACGTCACACAGTCAATACGTCTTAGCTTGCAGCACTTCGACTGCTCCAATGACA